CAAGTGACAAAGTCCTTGAAAGGGTGCCTGGCTGGTTCAGTCAGTGCAGCATGTGACTCTTGATCTCGGGGTCCTAAGTTTGAACCCCATGTTGAGAGCAGAATTTACTAAAAAAGGAATTCCTCACTGAAGATGACTGTTAGTAGGTGAAAGCTATGAGACTGACAGAGAGTGGAATAGGGTAAGCCTTGAAAGAAAAATGACTTTGCATAAAGATGGTCCAAATTTGCTGTTGTAAAATTTGCCCGTAGAGAAATAATTTATTAATACATATGGGGAAACTCTGCTTTAGAAGATAATGAGATAATAATATTTCTATAAAGTTGTGGTTTCTAAGGACCTTAAAACAAGGTAGCAAGCATTAGTCATTTCAAAGTAGAAATAAAAATGCCCAACTAAGAATAAAGTTACTTAGCCACAGATACCTGAGCCCTGAGAAGAGGTTACACAACACCATGAATACACTATTAGACATGTGAAGAGCAAAGGTCAATAAGGAAACATATACACGTCAGCAGATTTATTTATTGCATGAACAACAAACAGGAAAGTGCCTATACAGATTAGAAAAGTGATCTACTCCAGTAACACAAAAATCAGCACTTAAGAGTAGAATCGAGCAGAAGCTCTCAAATTACAAACAACTGCTTAAAGCCTTCTCCCATTAAACTTAAATGAATGATTCCACTTACATGAAATGTCCTGAACATGTAAGTTCTCAGACTAAGTTAGTGGTTGTCAGACAAGGGAGGTAAGGGGAAACAGGGAGTGACTGCTAATAGGTAGTGGATTTCTTTTTGGGTGATGAAAATGTTCTGGAATAGATAGTGGTGATGATTGCATAACACTGTGAATATACTAAAAACACTGAATTGCATACTTTTTTTTTTAACTGTATACTTTAAGAGGATAAATTTTATGGTATGTGAACTATCAATAAAGCTATTATTAAAAAATAAAGACTGAGGGTTTCTGGGGGAATAGGGGGAAGGGATAGGGTGGGTGGGTTATGGACACTGGGGGGGTATGTGCTATGGTGAGTTCTGTGAAATGTGTAAGACTGATGATTCACAGACCTGTACCCCGGGGCAAATAATACATTATATGTCAATGAAAATAATTTTAAAAAACAGAAATAAAAATAAAAGCGCCAATGATCTAAAAAGGCAAATATAACACCAGAGTAACATTACAGAAACAATACATTATTAATTTTGGGAAGCAAAGGATGGTAAAGCTATGGTGCAAGTGAGTTCCTATCCTAGAATTTTAAAAATCTGGATTTAATATGCATCTTTTGAAATACTATTATTTTTTTCTGGGAAAGGCAATCTTTCTGAGCTCCAGTTTTTTCTTACCTATAATAGAAATGTTATCTGCCTCACAGAGTTTTAAGAATAATTAATTATGATAATGTATCTGAAAAACATTTTGAATACTACACAATGTAAAGTGGCATTAACTCATTCTGACTAAATTAGCTGAAATTCAAAACAAATTTTTTAACGATTTTTTTTAAGTAATCTCTACACCCAGCATGGAGTTTGAACTCATAACCCTAAGATAAAGAGTTGTACACTCTATAAACTGAACCAGGTGCCTCCTCAAAAGCATAAACTCTAAATGCCAATTTTCAAGTTAACTTCAACATTAACAAGAATATGGAAAAACTTCAGTATTTTAAAATGAAAAAAATTTTTTAGAAAAAAGGTGGGAGGAGGAAGGGGGGTAGAATCTTAAGCAGGCTCCATGCCCAGAGCTAAGCCTGACTTGGGGCTCCCTCTCACAATCCTGAGATCATCACCTAAGCAGAAATCAAGAGTCAGATGCTTACCTGACTGAGCCCCCCAGGTGCCCCGATATGAAGAAGTTTTTAATGATACTTTTCATGAATAACTTAACTTTAAATATTAACAACATTGTCACGGTCACCAGAGAAGGTACTAGAGTAATTTCCTTCGACTCTAGGTGAAGATATTTACTAGAAAAGATTAATCATAATTTTCTATTCAACTTCATCGGGTTTATGATGAAAATGTGCATAAATTCCATAAGATCAGTAAACTACCTGTAAGCGAATTCAGAAATTATGCACACTTCTCTTTCAAATTCAAATAGGACTAGAAATATGAGCCCAAACTCTGCTTGACCATGTTTTATAGAATTTCAGTAAGGCCCTGTGCATTACCAAGGATGAAAAGTAACAATGTTAAATGTTTCGAGACAGTGCTGCCCTTATAAATATTCTCCCCTAAAATTCTTAAGATTTTTCTTTCTATAGCCTTTAAAGTTTTGAAACAGTGATGCAAATACAAAACTCGAGAAAACATTTTATGATTGAATGCATAGCAATCATAGTAATGGAATTAGACCTTTGCATTCACGTAATCAACAAAAAATACAAACTCAAGTTTCCTTTGGGGAAAAGTGACACTCAACTGGAAGGTTAAATCTGTGACAAATATAAATAGGATTTTTTTTAAAAGTGAGAGAAGGGGGAAAAATGCTTTGTTATGAAAAGTTGTGAATCTTGAGTACTGCACTTGCCTATACTCAATTAAGAAAATGAAAATCAATATAAGCAGTGACAAATTCAAACCTTAAAATACTTTTTTTAAAAACCTCTAGGCCAAGGGCGCCCGGGTAGCTCAGTGGGTTAAAGCCTCTGCCTTCAGGGGCACCTGTGTGGCTCAGTGGATTAAGGCCTCTGCCTTCAGCTCAGGTCATGATCTCAGGGTCCTAGGAGAGCCCCGCATCGGGCTCTCTGCTCAGCAAGGAGCCTGTTTCCTCCTCTCTCTCTCTGCCTGCCTCTCTGCCTACTTGTGATCTCTGTCTGTCAAATAAATAAATAAAATCCTTAAAACAACAAAAAACCTCCAGGCCCAACATGGGGCTTGAACTCACGACCCCAAGATCAAGAGTAGCATGTCCCACCGACTGAGCCAGCCAGGCGCCCCCTTAAAATACGCTTAATTGAAATTGTTCAAAAGCTATATAATTTTCTTTTTCTTTTTCCTCAAATTTTTATTTAAATTCTAGTGAGTAACATGCAGTGCATATTGATTTCAGGAGAATTCAGTGGTTCATCACTTACAAAAGAAATATTTCAAACGTGTAATTTTAAAGGTTTTTGCTTAGTAATGTTTTGCAGAGAAATCATTTAAATGAGTATCAGCCAAGTACACTCAAAGAGGGTGGAGAAATCATCATTACTATAGAATTCTGACTTAGAAACTTCAAACAATGTGCCAGTGATTTTCATTCCTGACAGCCTAATCTTTTGTCTCAGTTCCTGCTTGAAGTGCAAGGAAAGGGTGGTTAAAATGTACTTTTTTCAACTGCTTATCTTTGTAATTATTAACAATGCTTCTCTAACATTTCTAAAATAAAGTCAAAACATTCCTTTTCTGGGGCGCCTGGCTGGCTCAGTGGGTTAAGCCTCTGCCTTCGGCTCAGGTCATGATCTCAGGGTCCTGGGATCGAGCCCCGAATCAGGCTCTCTGCTTAGCAGGGAGCCTAGTTCCCCCTCTCTCTCTCTGCCTGCCTCTCTGCCTACTTGTGATCTCTGTGTGTCAAATAAATTAAAAAAAAAAAGAAAAAAGAAAAAGAAAAAAGGAAAGAAAAAAAAGAAAATGCCACTGAACTATAAGATTAGTTAAGTTCCAAATATCTTGGTAATGAATGTAAATCCTCAAAACAGTATTAGAGGGGCACCTGGGGGGCTCAGTAGGTTAAAGCCTCTGCCTTCGGCTTGGGTTATAATCTCAGGGTCCTAGATGGAGCCCCACGTCGGGCTCTCTGCTCAGCAGGGAACCTGCTTCCTCCTCTCTCTCTGCCTGCCTCTCTGCCTACTTGTGATCTCTGTCTGTCAAATACATAAATAAAATCTTAAAAAAAAGTATTAGATATACATTGCTTTACTATGTCAGCACCACAATTATTGACAAATTATTAATTTTCCCTTATTCCTCATCTGTAAAATGGAGATGATATCATTACCTTCCTTAATGAATTGTGTGAATGGCTAGCACCTCACACATAGGAGACAGTAAATGTTTCCTTTTCTTTCATACTTTTTTTTTTAAAGATTTTATTTTATTGAGGTAGAAAGAGAGAGGGTGCGCCCAAGCCAGGGGGGGAAGCAGACTCCCCGCTGAGCAAGGAGCCCACGCCCTACTTGATCCCAGGACCTTGAGATCATGAGCAGAGGCTTAACGGAATGAACCACCCAGTCGCCCCTTCTTTCATCCTCTAAACTGGTATTTTAACACTGAACCTAGGATATTCTTCAGAGTAAGACCCGTGGAAATACTGAGCTTGACAGATAAATATGCAAATAATACTACTTTTAATTTTTCAAGTTAAAAGGATTCCCTCACCTCGTTTTGCCCAAGTGTACCAAATACCTTAAGTACCTAAGGAGTTTGGCTTTTGGGCCAGTGAGGTCAGAGTTTCAGCTGTTGTCAAAACAAATCTCTATGCTGTTCAAAAATCTGGGAACAATTTATAAATTATTAGTTTTCCCCCAACCAGTTTATCTTTTCTCCCACTCCCCTGGGACCTGGGCTATGGCCAAACGTTAAGTTCTAGTAAGGAAGCTCACTTTGCCAGCACACTAACTGGGAGAACTGAAAACACCTCGTCACAGGGTCCCGAGCTGTCAATGATCCCGGCCGCCTTCACCTGATCAGGTGAGGAAATTCAGGCTGAGGGGAAGGAAGGGCTTATCTGCGCCTTACAGTCAGCTCGTTCTTTCCTCAAATGACGCCGTTTGACAGCAGCAGGTGCACTATCCAGAGGACTCTAACAGCGACCACCGCAGAGCAGGAAAAGAATCCGTTCCCCTTAGTGCTGCCTGACTCCGGAGAGGAAAACAGGGACCCCTTTCTCTCTTGGCCGCAACCGGGAGCCCCGGTGGGCTCAGGCCCGAAAAGTGCACTTTCCCTGCGATCCACAGCTGCCGCCTGCCGGTTCTACCGGGGGAAGAGACCGCCACTCACCTGCGAATGGAGAGATCGCAATTCCCCACCTAGAGTCCGCCCTACAACCTCCTAGTTCGAACTGCAAAGCGCGATGGCTGCCGAGGTCCCAGCTCCCGTCAGCTCCTTCCGGGCCGGGGGTGGGGGGGTGGGTGCTTCCCTCCCGATGGTCCGCAAGGCCAGCGTTCCACGAGCCCAAAGTTCCGCCTCCTCGCGGTTCCGCCGCCAACACCTAGGCTGAGCGCGCCTGAGGGTTAGAGCCAACCTCGTCTACCCATGCGGGTCAGAAAGGGCTTCAGAAGTCCGAGGGCCTAGGCAGAGAAGCAAACGCGAGTCTGTAGCTTGGGAAAATTATACATTACATCCGTTTTTAAAAATACATTTTTTAAAAATCTATTTTTTAAAGTACACCTGTTTCTTGAATTCCCAAGTAATTTTACAAAACGTAATTATGTGCCAGATAATGTGTTGGATGCTAGGTTTTGAGCTTTAAACAAGACTGTCCTGACTCTGCTGTTCTTTACTGGTGGATTAACGGTATCTTCCTTAAATGTGTTTAAATAAGAATATTTGAGTGCCTTGAATGGAAGTGTGAGGCTCTCAAGATTGCTTGCAAGCCTGGTTTCGAGTCCATAGGGACAGAAGAAGGAGCTGTTTGGGGTTAAAGAATGGGTTATTCAATAGAAGAAAATTCTATGACTTCCTTTGCTGGATCTCCCCCTTTCTGTTGCAGCCTCAGAAAATGCCTTAGCTCCTGTGTCTTCCCTTCACATTTGCCATTTTTTCTGCTAGAACAAATTTTCTAAACCTCTCCTCTCTACCTCCCTATGTCATCTATACTCTTCAGGTCGCAGCACAGAGACCTCTCATCAAAATCTCCCTCCCAGGGGTGCTTGGGTGGCTCTTTCGATTAAGTTTCTCACCCTTGATTTCAGCTCAGGTCATAATATCAGGGTTTGAGATCCAGCCCCACGTATGGTTACGTGCTTAGTGGGGAGTCTGCTTGAAATTCTCTCCCTCCCTTTACCCCTCTACTCCTCCTGCCCACCCCCAGGTCTCCCTCTCTCTCAAATAAATATATAAATAAATAAATAATTTTGGGTGTGATTTATGTATTTGACAGAGAAAGAAACCGCAAGAGCAGGAATATGAGCAGGGAGAGTGGGATAGGGAAAACAACTTTCCCCCTGAGCAGGGAGTATGATGTGGGGGGCTCAATCCTAGGACCCTAGGAAGTGGAAGGCAGACACTTAACAACTGAGCCACCCAGGAGCTCCTAATCAAATAAAATCTTAAAAATCAAAACAAAAAATAAAACAAAACTCCCAAAATTGGTTTCCCCAGCAACTGTATAATTAGCCTATTACCATTCAAGTTACCTTATAATTGTCCAAGTAAATATGTGATTGTTTGTGTAGAGTCTCTCACAATAGACATTCTGTAAGCTTCCTAAGGTCAGGAACCATATCTCCCTTTTCCTCTCTTGAACCTGTTTTCAGTGCTTGGCATATAATAGTGCTCAATACATATGAGCAAGTGATCCATTCATAAATGAAGGACTCCTATGTACTTTTTAAAAAGGGTTTTATGGGTGCCTGGGTGGCTCATTGGGTTAAGCCTCTGCCTGGGGCTCCGTTCATGATCTCAGGGTCCTGGGATGGAGGCCCACATTGGGCTCTCTGCTCAGCGGGGAGCCTGCTACGCCCTCTCTCTGCCTACTTGTGATCTCTCTTTTTCTGTCAAATAAATAAATAAAATCTTTTTAAAAAATTTAAAAAAGATTTGATTTATTTGACAGAGAGCAAGAGAACACAAACAGGGTGTCCTGATGCAGGGCTCAATCCCAGGACCCTGGGATCATGACCTGTGCGGAAGGCAGTCGCTTAACTGGCTGAGCCACCCAGGCATCCCTCCTAGGTACATTTTTGTCCTCAAGGGATTGAAGAATTTCCCTAAAGTCCATTGATCTGAGTTAGAGGAACTTGTTTTTCCAGTCTGGGTTCCCCTCTACTCTCCTTTCCCCGTACCTACTCTTGAATCCTGTTTGATTTCTTTAAAATTAATAAAAGGAAATCTCATTTAAAATGGAGTCAGGAGGGGTGCCTAGCTGGCTCAGTCAGTGGAGGATGGGACTCTGTCTTGAGATCATGAGTTGGAGCCCGATGTTGGGTATAGAAATCACTTAAATAAATAAATCCTCGGGGCGCCTGGGTGGCTCAGTGGGTTAAAGCCTCTGCCTTCAGCTCAGGTCATGATCCCAGGGTTCTGGGATGGAGCCCTGCATCTGGCTCTCTGCTCAGCAGGGAGCCTGGTTCCTCCTCTCTCTCTGCCTGATTCTCCGCCTACTTGTGATCTCTGTCTGTCAAATAAATGAATAAAATCTCTTTAAAAAAAAAATAAATCCTAAAACACACACACACACATATTAAATAAATAAATCTTAATAAAATCTTAAAAAATAATCTTAATCTTTAAAATCTTTAAAAAATAATTTTTTAAAAAGATTTTATTTATTTATTTCACAGACAGAGATCACAAGTAGGCAGAGAGGCAGGCAGAGAGAGAGAGGAGGAAGCAGGCTCCCCACTGAGCAGAGAGCCCCACGTGGGGCTCGATCCCAGGACCCTGGGATCATGACCTGAGCTGAAGACAGAGGCTTAACCCACTGAGCCACCCAGGCGCCCCTAAAAAATAAATTTTAATCAATCTTAAAATTATATGTGTGTGTGTGTGTGTGTATTATACACACACACACACACACACACACACTGGAGTCAGGAACCAGAAAAGGAAGCTCTTATACCCTACCACTCTTCCTCCATTGCACACCCCTCCATTGCATTCCCCATGTGAAAAAGACTGTATTTACCTCTGTAGCAGAAGGAAAGAATTTCTTTGTCCAGCAACAGCCCAGCCAATGAGAGACTGTCACAACTGAGCCAATGAAAAGCCACTACACTTAGAGCTCCCAGTTTATTCTAAGAGGTGTTTTGTTTATAACAAAGGCCTCTCAACTTAGCCATTCCTCTGTAAAGAGTGGTCCTCTCCCATGTTCTCTAGACTTGCAAAGCCCTAGCCTGTGTGTCTGGAAATGCAATTCTCTGCTATTTCAGAATAAGCTTTTTGTTCCCAGTAAGATAACTGACAGTTTAATTTTTAAGGTTAACAGGTTTTTGTTTTTGTTTTGTTTTATTTCAGTTGTAGAGAGACAAAGAGAGCACGCAAGCTGGGGACAGGCAAAGGGAGAAGGAGAGAGAAATTCCAAGCAGGCTCCATGCTCAGGATGACACCCCCAACATGGAGCTCAATCCCATGACCCTGAAATCAGGACCTGAGCAGAAATCAAGAGTCTGATGCTCAACCCACTGAACCACCCAGGTGCCGCTTAAGGTTAACAGGTTTAACAAATGCTTCTAAGTAGTTAAAGGACTAGTTCACTGGACTCCTCAAAATTATAGCTCTTACCTTGATAGCCTTTCTTTCCTGATATTGCTGGCATTTTATTCAGCCTTAAAAAATCTAAACTCCTGGCTTCAGCAAGAAATTGTAAAATGGCTAGGAATGGAGAGTTGTGACAATAGGCAAGACATAGTGTCTTTACTCAAGGACCTCCCAGTTTGGCAGGAAAATGTGTTAAGTCACACCTGACTTTCAAAAAAGATGGGGAGAGAGAGGATAATGTAGAAAATGGTGATGGTGATGAGGGAGTGAAGAAGCCAGTGATGCCAGTGTTTGAGACAGTCTTAAAGGCTACATAACATATTTCCCCCCATTCTTTTTGGTGATTGTTGTTATAAAAGTAATACATATTAATTATAAAAAATTTGGGGTGCCTCGGTGGCTCAGTCAGTTAAGAGGCTGCCTTTGGCTCAGGTCATGAACCCAGGGTCCTGGGATTAAGCCCCGGGTCGGGCTCCCTGCTCAGTGGAGAATCTACCTTTTCCTCTTCCTCTATCCGCTGCTCTGCCTACGTCTGCCCTCTATCGCTCTGTCAAAAAAAAAAAAAAAGTTTAGAAAATCCAGAAAAATACCTCATGGAAACAAAAATCACCCCCAGTCTCACCTCACAGATTAAACCACTCTTATTAGATTATAATCATACTATACACAGTTTTATAAAATATTTAAAATTCAAAACATTTATTTTTTTATTTTTTTATTTTTTTTTATTTTTAAATTCTTTTTTTTTTTTCAAGATTTTATTTATTTATTTGACAGAGAGAGATCACAAGTAGGCAGAGAGGCAGGCAGAGAGAGAGGAGGAAGCAGGCTCTCTGCTGAGCAGAGAGCCTGATGCGGGGCTCGATCCCAGGACCCTGAGATCATGACCTGAGCCGAAGGCAGAGGCTTAACCCACTGAGCCACCCAGGCGCCCCTAAAATTCAAAACATTTATTATAGACACTTTACCATGTAATTAATGATTCTAAATTCTGAATTTTAATGGATACATTTTTAATAAAATATAAAAGATAAGAGCACAACGTCTAGCCACAGACAAAGCTTCTAACAAAACTAGCCACTTAGAGTTCCCATGTAGGTAAAATGGGGATTAATATCCAGAAGGGATGATATAAGAGAAAATAACATACAAAAAGGGGGAGAGATGGAAGAAGCACCAGGCAGGTATTATGATTTGACTGGGTAGATTTGGGCTGGACTATCAGGGACCTAGGCTCCCATATTATAGAGCCTCTTGAGGGTTTTGAGTAGAGCAGAAACGTGTTCAGTGTTGTTTTTGAAAGTTTGCTCTAGGGGTGTCTGGGTGGCTCAGTCGTTAAGTGTCTGCCTTGGGCTCAGGTCATGATCCCAGGGTCCTGGATTCAAGCCCCACATAGAGCCCAGCATTGAGCTCCCTGCTTGGTAGGGAGTCTGCTTCTCCCTTTCCCACTCCCCCTGCTTGTGTTCCCTCTCTCACCATCTCTCTGCCAAATAAATAAATAAATAATCTTTTAAGGAAGAAAGAAAGTTAGTTTGTTCTAGCAGCAACTAGCGTGGGTTGTATTGGAACAGCTTGACTGAAAACCGAGCTCAGGAATGAGGCTGGTCCAATCATGCAGGTGAGTGGTAACACAGGCCTAGGTTGGGTCTGTGAGAACAAAGAAATATGGAGTTGTGTGTGAGAATCTATAAA